AAGTTCAAGCCCAAAGATGTCACGATGTCAGAGTCATGACGTCAAGATGTGGAGGGCAGCCTCGGCCGAGGAGCGGAAGCCGTTTGAGGAGACGCCGTCAAGGGCCAAGGCCGCGCACGCGCTGGCTGTGCAGGAGTATAACGACGGCTCTGTTCGATGGGACGAGGCCGCCATCAACTTGCGGGCAGAGTATGAGGAAGAGCACGATCTGGCTGGTTCCGCGACGCTTACCGCCGATGGAAAGCATCGTCGCACGAGTAAGCCTGTGGATTATGCGGAGGACGATGAGAGCGTATCTGAGTAGGAAATGAGAGGAGTGGCAAGTGCTGTTTTTCCAGGCGGAGTGAGAGGCCAAGTGCTGTGCAGATGAGCAGTTGTGGCTCCGACCGAGCGGCGATACGGTGTTACGGAATTCTCGGCACATACCCTTTTGGCATTTCGCCGCGGCGCGAGGTGGACAGACTCTACGGACGACAGGGCGATTTGTTTCTCGTGTTTTTTCTGGTGGCCTGGACCTCACTACACAGTAAAGTCCTCACAATACAGACTCGCACATACACAAACATTCATCTCATTCACGCGAAATGTTGTATGCGGCGCTGTTTCTTTTTTTCAAACGTGACCGTCTCATCTCTAGGTCAAGGATTTATTGGGAAGGCTTTGGTACACCGAGGCATGGGTGGCCATCGTTCGAGAGCTTGATACAAAGGGAAGAGGTATGGTATTCTCCGACGCGATGCATTTCGCAGATTACATGTCCTCCGAGGCCGTCGCACCAGTGATAATCTCAACCAGCTCGCCCGTAATGACGGCTTGGCGAGTGCGGTTGTAGAGAATCTGGAACTTGCTGATCATCTCGCCGGCGTTCTTGGAAGCATTCTATCGTGTGTCAGACACTTGCGTCATCTCAAAAAGGGTCTATGAATGTACTCACGTCCATGGCGTTGCGACGGGCGGACTGCTCGCAGGCGTGGCCCTCGGCCAGAGCCCAGAAGAGGGAGTTGGCAAGGGCGTACTCGCGGAGGTTGGGCAGAAGCTCCTCGTCAACCTCGAAGGAAGAGAAGTTGGCTGTAGAAATAAAACATCAGCAAAAGGGTCCTTGGTATCGGTTCTCACCGCGTCAAAAGCTTACCGGAGGCAGTGATGGCCTCAACGTCAAAGGCATCAATGGTAGCGGGCTCGTAGCTCTGAGCGTTCAAGAACTTGTTGTAGACAATCTTGACGTTCGAGTACTCGGTGGGGAGCTGGACGATCTGGTCGGCAATGGCGGCGGCGTCACCGAAAGTAGGAACGTCCTTGCCGACACCGGCAAAGTTGAGAACGATGTTCTTGCCGTTGGTGCGCTGGAGCTGGGACCTGCACTTCTCGCCGATGATGACCATGTCGAAGGGGCCACCGTCGGGAGTGGTGCGGCGGATGTAACGGGACAGACCGGAGTGAATACCACCGCAGAGACCCTTGTCGGAGGAGCAGACGACGATGAGCTGCTTCTTGCCCTCACCCTCGGTGGGCTTGGTCTCGGCCGACTCGAAAACCTGGTTGGAGGTCTCACCGTAGGCACGGGAATCGTTCATGGAGCGCTGGGCGCGCGTGAGCTTGGTGGAAGCAACAATCTTCATCGTGTTGGTGATCTTCTCGATGTTGCGAATGGACTTGAGACGGCCCTCGATCTCACGAAGAGTGGCATAGGTGGCGGCGGTGCTGGGGGCGCTCGCGGCGACGCTGCATCCGAGTCGTCAGCATCATTGTTCCATCGCATCTCGATTCCTGTGGCGTCTCCAGCTCTTCCGAGCCATCTTTCGCTGTCCAATCGACGGGCGCGAGGTCGCGTTGTCATTCCGAGACTCTGCCAGACTTCTTCCAAGGACCGAGCCACTTACCGAGGAGCCGCAACAGCAGCTCGCAGAGCTGGCCTTGCCGCGCGGGAGAGCATTATGGAAGATTAAGGAGGTGAAAGGGACCTTGCACCGGAGGAAGCTTCAATTGACCGCGGGTCGTCTAGAAGGCCAATTGACAGGCTGGGGCGAGTGCTTGATGGGCTGTCGATGGGGTTGAGAGGCTATTTTCAACCGGCAACGGGCGAGCAGCCAATGTCGGACTTTCCCGGCTAGCCGGGTTTGGCAGGAATCAAGTCACGTGAGGTTGTGGACCAGACACTGGACACTCTGAACAGACGGAGTGCGAGGAGCCAAGGAGGGAACAGGAATACGGCGCGAGGCTCCACCCACCTGCCACCTCAGCCGCCCGGGCGTATTGTTCCTACCTTAACTCCCAGGGCCGCCCCATCCAAATCGTCAAGCCAAAGCTTCCCTTCCCTCAGTCTGGCCCTTCCTCTTCTTCCTCTATTTGTGACGGCTCTGCAGATCCTATCCCTCCTGCAAACCATCTAGCGTGGGGCTGGAAGCGTGGAGTGGCAGAAGTTACAATCTTTTTTTACCTTCAATCCTTCAATTCTCGTCAATCGACCATTCGACAAGCTGCTACTGCGAACCGCATCAACAGCTTACAGCAATCGCGCCGCTGCGATTTTCTCACCAAGTCCGAACTCCATAATACCACCCGCTAGTGTCGAACCAGCAACCCCACGGGCTCGCATTCGCCATGGCTACCAGCTCCGACGATGATATGCCTCTGGCGAGGTCCAACGGACATGGTAAGTTTTTTCCGACTTTCCTGTTCCGGCGCATGCATCCCTCTCAATGCGCCTTCCGCTCTCTACAACCCCAAAGCCTTGTTGATGTGTCACTCACCTGGGGGTGACTTGACGCGCCTTCTTCGAGACAGCTTTTCCCCCCTCTCCACTTATCCAGATTCTGACAGACACTCGATAGTCTCCGCTTCCAAAATCTCCAGAGCCGAAGACAAGGCCATGGACGCTACCGATTCCAGGATGAAGCCAGCACCGGCCGGCATCTCTGTGCGCAATGGTCCCGTTGTCGACGACATGGACATCTCACCTGCCCAGGACGGACTTGCAAAGCGGAAGGCACGCACCTCAATCACCAAGATCAACTACCAGGACGGTTCAGATAGTGATGATGACAAGCCACTGGTAGGTTACCGCAGTCCTGCAGGTGTCTCAAGAAGCGAGACTAACCACGCGTGCAGGCAAAACGTCAAAAGACCAAGACGAAAACGAAACAGGAGTCCGATTCCGACGATGACGTGCCCATCATGAGGAAGAGGGCCAAGCTGCCCCCATCATACAAGGAAAACTGCGCTCCCCGAGTCCGACTCTGACGATGATCAACCACTGAGCGTGAAGCTCGCTGCGAAGAAGGCAAGCATCGAAGCGGACGCCGCGAAGGAGGCCAGAGCCATTCGGGCGCAAGAGAGCAAAGCCAAGAAGCCTGCTGCAAAGAAGCCCGTCAAGGATGATTCCGATGATGAGCCTCTCGCAAAGCCTAGACGGCAGTCCAACGGCGTGGGTGCCGTCAAAAAGCGCGTCGTCAAGGACGAGTCCGACTCTGACTCTGACAAGCCCATTGCGAAGAAGACTAAGAAAGCTGCGCCCGCTAAAACGCCAGCCAAGGGTACGAAGGCAAAGGCCGCCACGCCGGCGAAAAAGGGCAGGTCCGCCAAAAAGGAAGAGAGCGAGGAGGCCGAAGAAGACGAGGCTGTAGATGAGTGGTGGAACGAGCCAAAGAAAGAAGATGACAGTGTCAAGTGGACCACACTCGAGCATAATGGCGTGTTGATGGACTACAAGTACGAGCCGCTTCCAAAGAACGTCAAGCTCGTCTACGACGGCAAGCCACTCAATCTCCCTCTCCAAGTCGAGGAAGCTGCATGGTTTTTCGGATCCATGTTCCACTCCAAGAACAACGTGGACAACCCTACGTTCCAGAAGAACTTCTTTGAGGATTTCCGCGAGGTAATCAAGGAGCATGGCTCGGCGACTGACAAGGATGGCAAAAAGGTTGATATCAAGGACTTCCACAAAATCAACTGGCAGCCCATGGCCGACTACGCTGAACAGCAAAGTGCCATGAGGAAAAACCGAACCAAGGAGGAGAAGAAGCAGATCAAGGAGGAAAAAGACGCGCGGGAGGAACCATTCAAATACTGCCTCTGGGATGGTCGCAAAGAAAAGATGGGCAACTTCCGCGTCGAGCCTCCCAGTCTTTTCCGTGGACGTGGCGACCACCCGAAGACGGGTAGAATCAAGAAGCAGGTTTTCCCGGAGCAGATCACCATCAACATTGGCAAGGACGCAAAGATTCCCAAGCCTCCTGATGGACACAAGTGGAAGGCTGTTGTACACGACAACAAGGCTACGTGGCTTGCGTCATGGCAGGAAAACATCAACGGCGCGTACAAGTACGTCATGACGGGCTCCAGTAGCTCCGTCAAGGGCAAGTCAGATCACATGAAGTTCGAAAAGGCGCGCGAGTTGAAGAAGCACATCGACAGAATTCGTCGCGACTATGGCAAGGACCTCAAGAGTGAGACGATGGCTGACAGGCAGCGCGCTACTGCCATGTATTTGATCGACAGGTTCGCGCTTCGAGCCGGTAACGAAAAGAATGCCGAGGAAGAGGCTGAGACTGTCGGCTGCTGCTCTCTCAAATTTGAGCACGTCACCCTCAAGGAGCCCAATACTGTCGTCTTTGACTTCTTGGGTAAAGACAGTATCCGTTTCTTTGACGAGTTTACTGTTGAACGCCAGGTCTTTAAGAACCTCAAGATCTTCAAGAAGCCTCCCAAGGGTGAAGGTGATGACATCTTTGACCGCTTGACCACGACGCAGCTGAACAAGCACTTGAAGAGTTACATGGATGGTCTCACTGCCAAGGTGTTCCGTACCTACAACGCCTCCTTCACCATGTCGCGGCTGCTTCAGGAGCTCCCCGTGGAGAAGGCCACGATTGCAGAGAAGGTGAAGCTCTACAACGACTGCAATCGCAAAGTCGCCATTCTCTGCAACCACAAGCGGACTGTCGGTGCCGGTCATCAGGCCCAGATGGAAAAGCTCGGAGACCGCATCAAAGGTCTGAAGTACCAGCAGTGGCGTACGAAGATGATGATCCTTGACGTTGACCCCAAGCAAAAGAAGAAGCTCGGCGCGGATTTCTTCAAGCTCGACGAGGAGCTCGATAACGAATGGATCGAGGAGCACCTGAATTTCCTTTACGAGGAGCAGCGAACGAAGATCACCAAGAAGTTTGAAAAGGATAACGAGAAGCTTGTTGCCGAAGGTTCCAAGAAGCTGCCCGAAAAGGAGCTTAAGGAGCGTCTCAAGGCTGCTTCGGAACTGCTCACGAAGCTCAAGAAGGAGCACAAGACAAAGAAGGTCGAAGCCGAAGGCAGAAGCCCCACCGTGGAGAAGCTCTTGGAGGGGGCGAAGAAGATTGAGGAGCGCGCCAAGAACCTGGAACTTCAAGCCCAGGATCGTGACGGCAACAAGGAGGTTGCCCTGGGTACCAGTAAGCTGGTGAGTCATGATGCCACCCAAGCTGTTTGCTGTAGCATGCTAACCTATCTCAGAACTACATCGATCCACGCCTCACGGTTGTCTTCTCACGAAAGTTTGATGTGCCTATCGAGAAGTTCTTCTCGAAGACTATGCGCGAGAAGTTCAACTGGGCTATTCAGTCGGTTGACGACGACACGTGGGAATTTTAGGCGGCACTGTTTCAAGCTGCGCGACCTGAAGCGAATCAGCAGCTTGCCGTGCCTTGCTGTATACAACACATTCCTAGGGAGAGGCTGCTGCTGCTGCGATTTCTTTGCCCAAAGTAGCCTGGCCATCAGGGCACCGGCTAGGTGCTCGGTATGGTGTCTCAAAAGCTACAATCGAAGGGGGAGGCCGGCATTCTGGTGGCATTTTCTTTGCTCATGGTGCTAGGGGATTTGGCTGGGAGGCCGTCTGAGGATGACATTCGCGCAACGATGGATGTTGCTTGTTGTTTGCGCTGGGGGGAAAGGCGGAGAGGCCTATGATGCCGTCGATGTATAACACTTGGATACCGACCAATCAAGGAGTCAACAAATTAACAAATTAACAAATCAAATCGCATGCAGGAGCGTGCACTTTTTTTCTCCCGTGCTTGGATTACATTATGTGCCATACTCACAGGTGCACAAAGCCATCAAGCCAGCCAAGCCAGGCAAGCAAGTCCGAAGGCATGGTAGTTGTGATGAAAACGACACCAGGGTTGTATCCACGAATTCTGAGGAAGGAACATAGAGTAACTGGTATCTTTGGGGGAATTTATTCCTCTAGTGCTTCGTGGTCCATTTTCAGAATGGAAACACATCTATGGGTTCTCGAATTCCAGGGCGTTCAGGCTGTCCGCTATGCTAAAATGATGTTCCATACGCTCATGCATGCCCCCCTC